ATGATTGAATTTTTTGTAATCCATGATCGAATTGTTTTTTTCTTTTTTTGTAATCCACGATTGAATTTTTTGTTTTTTTGTTTGTTTTTTTTGTAATCCATGATCGAATTTTATGTAATCCATGATCGAATTTTTTGTAATCCATGATCGAATTTTTTGAAAATTTGTGATTTTTTTTTTTAATCCATGATCGAATTTTTTTTGTAATCCATGATAGAATTTTTTGAAACTTTGTGATTTTTTTTTTTAATCCATGATCGAATTTTTTTTGTAATCCATGGTAGAATTTTTTGAAAATTTGTGATTTTTTTTTTTTAATCTATGATTGATTTTTTTAAAAATTTGTTATTATTATTTTTTAATCCATATTATTCAAAAAGAAAATGAGAGAGATGATGATTCTGAGGCCACCCTATCCCAGCCATATTATTCACATATCGAGTCCCAACAACAACAGTGTAGGGATGAGCACGACAGTGCAGGTGAGCATGAAGGATGGAGAATCTTCGGGGATTTTAGATTGGGAACACAACAAAACACTAACACTCAGGGATTTGGGAATAGTCAGACTCTTGCTAATATCGATGATTCGTTTTTAGATCGAATCAATGAATTGTTAAACAAATTCAATCAATGGCACCAACGTGACAAAGAAGAACAATAATGTCGTCTATCATTTGATTTTTAGATCATATGTTACTAATTTTATGCTTTATTGTAGTCCATGTATGTTGATATACTTATTCCATGATAATTCTATATTTATCCTTTTGTGTGATGTAAATTAAATGCTGAATGGCGGTTCATGCAGGGAAAGAACATATTAATATTCGCATATTCATTCAAAAACATGAAATTTCTTAACGGAATACCCTCATTTCTTATGGAATTCCTAAAAAAAAATATTTATAATGAATTTTAATAATTTTTTAAGATTTTTTTAAAACTTTTTTATGACCGATTCACTCGATTTTCGATCCGGATCGCCGATCTTCAGATCCGGATCTGTTTTTTGGAAGCCCGATCCAGATCACAGATCCGCTTTTTAAACCATTGTTTGGTAGTTACGCAACTCTATTTTCCAGCAAGGGTATTTTCGTCACTGGCTAAAGAATGTCTCAGTAATTCTGAAATTAAATTAGAAAATGGGGTTTTACTGATTTATTATTTTCTGTCCATATAAATTATCTCAAATTTATTCTAGTTTTTCATGAAACCACTTAATGTGTAAAAGAAGCTCTTTCTCACAGCTTGGATCTCATTTGCATGGAAAAAAAGAGGTAAAGTACCCTAATTGGTACCCAATAAACCGGCGCCAATAAATCCCCAGTTCAGGCGGTGAAAAACCCTAGTTTATGGATCGCCCTACCTTTTCGTCCATAAATCTGTCTGAATTTGTTCATGATCTCCTTCTATATTCTCTAAAATCTAGGATAGATTTGATGAGGTTAGGGTTTATTACACTGTTTGTTTTCTAATTTCAGAAGAAGCCTGAATATCTAGATACTGTGCATTTCTTTCTCCATTTCCTCAATTTAATTTGGTTTCATTTCTTTTGCAGTTGCGTGAATTACCTGGGCGATTTTGATTTATCTTTATTTATTGCATTAGTTGGTTACTACTTTTCCTGCAGTTTTGGATGAAAAATTGAAAACGAAGAAGAACAATACAGTATTTGCATGCACTGTAATCTTCCATTTCATTCTCTATTTGTTTTACTTTTAAGTAACTGAATGTGGAGCTCAATGAAGAAAAAAAAAAGGTCGAGTTCATTTGGGTATTTGCTAAAGTTATTTTAACTTCCATTTTTTCCCGCACTACTGTTTCTCTTTTAATTTTACGGAAATTCAATTCAGTTAATTCTTAGAAATTGGAAGCAAATGTGTTCAGCATTTGGTTAATGTGATGTTAGCTTGCTAGTTACTGGAACTTTCCATTTTCTTTAGAACATTCACATTATGTGATGCTCTTGCTTTTGAGTTTTTTTTTTTTGAAAACTGATGCTCTTGTTTTTTAGTTTAGATATGTTATTTCTCTATTCTGCATTGATTTTTTTTTTTGAATAATAATTCTGCATTGATTAATTTTCCTGGTCAGTTTCCTATTTTCTTTGCCTTTCTTTCTTCTAGTTTTCGATGAATTTAAGGAAGGATTCAGTATGTTATTTTTATGTCTCATGGATAAGCCTGATTCAATTTCCACTTTGCCTAGCCAAAAAAACATAAAGATCCAGTTTTTACATTGACTCTGTTTTTTATTTACTTTTCCGTTCTTTTATATCCTGGATATTACAGGCTATTGAATTGATTGATATCACTATACAAATTCACTTCATGTCAGTTGCTACTGAGTAATAATTCTATTTTGTCAGCCTAATTAGAAAAGGAGAGATAATGCTACTCTTGCGTTCCTTCTTTATTTTGGCTCCTAATTTGCGTGGCATAATTCTATAAGATGTCTTTATTGTTTTTGAAATTGTGATTTATATTAGATAGGAGTTAGTTTTTTCATGCTGTATGTGTAATTTTCTTGTTTATGGTGTAGGGATATGTCATCTGATGTAAATAATTATCTATAATCATCAGTTGAATGGAGTAGCAGCTTGATTTAATCTGGCTGCTCATGCTGATGGCAACTTATAAAGATTTAGGAGTTGGAGCATCAAAAGGAAGCATGAAAGGAAGCGAGAACAAGGTACTTTATGGAAATTGTTCCTCTTGTTAATTGATTATGATTAATCTGCTTTGGAGTGAATTTAATAGAGAAATTGCATTTAGATGTTGTGGTTTGGTACCATATCAAAATTGTGCAACAGTGAGACATAATAATTACCATTGACTGAAGTGTGAAGTCCTAGGGCCTAGTGAGATGATTGGCTTTATAAGTTACTATCAGTGTTTTAAAACTTGGCCTCAGCACCCTGCAGAGGCGAGTTCTCTGTACAAACTCGGGCGTACAAAAAATATATAAAATTCCATTGTTTTACTTGATCACTAATAAACTTTCTGTAAATATGTCTCTATATAATTTTGATGATGGGTTATGAAATTTTAGTATTATGTTCTCTGAGTGTTATTACTGTGTGCTCTATTTTTCTGTTTTTCGTTTTTTGGATTTTCTGAATTGTTTCAAGCTATATATCAATTTTTTTCACATCCATTTTCTACATACTTTTTCCAGCATACATACAATAAATGGTGCACACATACAGTCAATTGTTATTTTTACTGATTTTTCTTTATTTGAATATTTTGTACCTTCTTTTTAATTTTTTGCAAATTTTGAGTCCTTTCGGGCTTGTACGTGACTTGGATGAGTCCCAAGCCCGAACCAAGTTTTTGCACTGGTTACTATAGATATAGCGTACAAAACGTGACCAACATACTTGCATAACTAGAAATATGTCCTTCCACTACATGAAAGGATGACTATGGCCTTGCCCTTTGATGGAAAAACTAGCAACCCTTAAGGTTGATTTGAACAATAATTTTCTGGCATAAGAATATTCTGAAATGAGATATCAGTTTATGATCAGCTGGTGCATGTTCCACACTCTTATCGTCACCATTCATCTGTGGTCCATTATAATTTATCAGTCTCTCATTAGTTGGGGTTTTTTAGGCAAAATCAAGGAGATGATGTTGTAAATGTGAATGTGGTCTTCCTTAAGGATGTTTTCTATAGCACTTCTTGGATCCTATGATCTAGAGTATTTGCTATACATTATTTAGAGAACTGATAGCTAAACTGATTATGTGTATCTCTTTATGCTGCAACTTTACCAGAGGTGTTCTGGTTTATGCAGATGCCAAGAATGGAGGATATTCTTAATCTCCCTGTGCAGGATCCTCCTTATGCTGAGTTTTCAGCAGCGCATCTCAACTGGGTAAAAGTGGATGGGGGGCGCCAAGGTGGTGATGATATTGCTTTAATCCCATTCAGTAGAGTGGATGATTTCGTCAAAGGCGAATCCAATAAAGTAGAGTGCCCTGCTAGTTTCCGTATCGAGTCAAGAAGAAAGCGTTCTGAAGGAAGTGTCAGCAAGCCAAGAGTTGATGGCTACCTTGAATATACAATGTATGTTTATTGGTGATTCTTCTGTCACATGGTTTCCATAGTGGAATATCTCAATGTAAGTGTCTCATTTCTTGCAGATATTGGTGTTCTTATGGCCCTGAAGACTATAGGGACTGTGATTCTGGTATTGGTGATTTCCCAAATAACAAACCAACTTCTGGAAAGGGGAGCAGGCCAGGAAGGAGGCACATGATGAGAGGTTGCCTATGTCATTTTACAGTGAAGCGCTTGTATACTCGACCATTACTTGCCCTCATTATATTCAACCAAAAGAACCATGTTGATAAAACAGGTGCCCCATGTCATGGTTCTCTGGATAGAGATGCTATAGGGACTCGGGCCATGTATGCTCCAAGGATTTCAGAGGAACTAAGGCAGAGGATTATGTCTTTGCTCTATATTGGGGTTCCTTTGGATAACATCATTCAGCATCACACTGAAGAAGTAGAGAGGCATGGTGGTCCTTGCAATCGAGATGATTTTCTCACTCGAAATGACGTTCGAAATATGGAGAGGGTCATTAAGCAATCCACATATGAACTCCATTTAAATGATGCAGTTAGTGTCCGTATATGGGTACAACGCCATCAAAAGTGTGTTTTCTTCTTCCAAGATAGTCCTGATACAGAGTCATTTATTTTGGGCATTCAAACTGAGTGGCAATTGCAGCAAATGCTCCGTTATGGTCACAACAGTTCCATTGCTGCAAATTCCATGTTTGGATTGAACAAACTCAAGGTCTGAAAACTGTTGCCTTTCATGCATTACTTATAATAGGATTATCATTTATTTCCTTGATTACTGACTAGAATTCATCAATACGTATTTGAATGGCATTTAGTATTAAGACTTGGATTAATGTTTTGTAGTACTGATTGCTCTCCACTGTGACATTTGCAGTGTCCTTTGTGCACCTTGTTAGTGTTTGATGCATACCAGAATGGGATCCCTGTCGCATGGGTCATTTCATCTAGTTATGCAAGTCAAGATATTCATATGTGGATGGGCTCACTTGTTGAAAGGGTTCGAGCAAGGGACCTTAATTGGAGGCCCACTGCCTTCCTCATTGATGATCCCTCTTTTGAAATTTCTGTTATCAGGTACATGTCCAGTATAATGTGGAGCTATGGTTTCCCAATGCAGAAATTATACCACCACTTGCTGCCTGTGCATGGGTTTATGGTACACAGATGGGATATACTCCTTCCCTTCTGATTTATGGATAGTGGAGATTAAATGACCTCACCGCCCCAAACGTCCCTCCCCCTCCCTCCCCTCCCCCCAAAAAAAAAAAAAAAATGGATGGTAGTGATTAGACATAGTTCCCAATGAATGGAATTTAATTGGTACATTTTTGTGGGGGGTGGGGGGGACCCCCATGCTGTGTGCCATTTACCATGTACAGGCTATGTATGATGTGCTTTCTTTCCTTTTCCAATAATCTAGATTGGGATCACCTTTGTGCTGAATATGCATCATCAATACACAGAGACATCTTCCAGTGTAGGATTCTTTTGTGTCTTTGGCGTGTTCGGCGAGTTTGGATAAGGAACCTCTTAAAGAAATGTTGCAATTTTGATGTGCAAAGGGAAATGTTCAAGCATCTTGGTCGCATTCTCTATTGCTCAAGGAGTGGCCCAAATGCCACAGATGTAGTTGAGGAGTTTATGCAAGTTTTTGTTGATCAAACCGCATTTTTGGAGTACTTTAAGGCTTTTTGGTTGCCAAGGATAGGTAACTTGTTAACCATGTGTTGTATTTAGTTCCTTTTCTTGAATTATATTGTACACTTCTCGACTGTGTGCTGGACTTGGTTCCCTCCTTTTATTTTTCTTGATTTATCATTAATTGTCACGAAGTGGGTTCCATTGACTGTATTTCCATAACTATTGTCAGCTGACTCTCTGTGCTTTTCAACAGATATGTGGGTCTCTGCAATGAGGACTCTCCCTCTAGCAAATCAAGAGGTTCTTGCTGCAATTGAGTCATATCATTCAAGATTGAAATCCAAATTGCTTAGTGACCCTCCTTCTAGGTCTTGGCATCGGGTTGATTGGCTGGTGCATGTATTGACAACTGAATTCCATTCCCTATGTTGGTTTGATCAATATGCTGAAGAAAGCGCTTTCTTTAGGAACATGAGGGAACAATCCTTCTCAATGAACTCCTGGCGCAGGGCATTGCATATTTCTGATGATGATGTTATATTGGATGAAGAAGACCTTCTCTTTGTAAAAGTTATCTCCCAATCAGACCGGAGCCATGCATACACCATATGGAATCCCGGTTCTGAGTTTTCTTTATGTGATTGCCCTTGGTCTAGGCATGGGAATGTATGCAAGCATATAATCAAAGTGGGTGTTTTATGCAGGCATCGTCAAGTGGCTAGACCATCACTAGCTCTGCAAGCTTATCGAGAGATATTGCTCTCTCTCCTGCAAAACCCTCCTGATGACCCCATTGTTCTAGACCATGCTATGGTGCATGCTACACGAATGCAACAAGACCTCAAGGGTCTCGAAGAGCTATCTTCTCGTGGCTTGCTCCAGCCTGTTATCCACTTGGAAACAAACTCTAATGGGGCTGAGAGTTTCGTACCTCAGGTTAATGCACCCTTTGAGAGGTTTGTAAAGAGGTCATGGGCCTTGAGTCCTGGATCAACCCAACTTGACTTTGGTGGGAGATCTTCTCTTGCGATTAGTTCGCAAGCATTAATCAACAATCAGATGAGAGAGGTTGTTCAGTTTCTAAAAGTTCCTCAAGTTTCAAATGAGAGGCCCATCATAGGTGAGCATGCAGTCACTGGCAATGGTGATGTGAGGCATGGGATCGGTTGATTGTTTTGATTGGTATGTAATATTGTGGTTTATGATTTATGATTTATGATTTATGATTTATGATTTAGGATTTATGATCTGTGATTTATGATTTATGATTTATGATTCAATAGTCACCTTGGTACAATTTATATATTGGTTCATTTTACATTTGGTTTGTGTGCTTCCTCTACAAATTAAGTTCCATATATAGTGATGGATTGCTGTCTTAACAGCTGAAGACTTCAGAACTCCAATGCCCAGGGAATATGGGGCTTGCTTGTTGATGCATATGGACTGAACATGGCATTCATTTTGTTTTTGTGGTTGAAGGTATGTTATACCATACTCCAATAAATACAATTTCTAACTCCACAATTTTTTGTACTATATAAAGGGATACACAACTCAATCCATTAAAGTAATAGCCATTGGGATCATCACTATCCAAGAAAATAATGTATAGTGATGGAGAGAGCAGGACCAACAAGGCAATGATTCCAATGGTTGGACCTCCCATATCTCCATCAGTTCATCATTTCATTGGATGGGGATGACCCAAATCAATACTTTCAGATGACTTCCTAAACTTGGTAACTGTATGTTTTGTATGCTTTTCTAATTGAATATTTCTGGAAAGAGGAAACTGCTGAATTCAGCCGTTATTGAAGCATCCAGATAAGAGACAGATAAGCCAGGTCCTGGGGAGGATCGGTTGTGAAGTGAACCTGGTTGGCACACTGTGTTCTGGATTGAAGGTACATATTCTATTATATCATCATTATGATTTTAAATTTCTTTACTGCATGTAGTCTTAGGGTTGTTACGCGTACTTATGCTCAACTTGCTAAATTATGTACTTAGATATTTCTAGAAGGTAGTCAGGGAAAAACAATCAATAGTTATGACAATGTTAAGATTCAATAATTATGTCTTTCTCCCTTCAATTCTCCACAATTCTGTGTTTCACTACGACTTTTCCTCTGATTCTGTGCCACAGACATGGAGGAAAGGAGTGAGTCTTGCACATTTATGGTCTGAGTTAAGCCACTCTGTGTGACTCTTGTAATGTCTAATATTCTCGGTTGGTGATGTGATGTCCATACCTTGTAAACTAGTTTAACATGATAATTATAATTTGTTAACACTTTCTATTTTGTCACTTTTATTTTTCTTTCAAAGCATATCCGTTTGGATTTTTATTCTGCAGCTTTTCTTGTTTTTCTAAAGAAGAAACATTATGTTCTTGAAATATCAGGAAAGTTGAAGAATGATTTGCATTTGTCTGCTGTTGCTGTGGACCTTCTGTGTGACCACAAGAGCAGATTGAGGCAGTTTCATGGATATATCTTAATGAAGAGAAATGTAGTAGCTTCTAAGTTCCATGCTTTCTCATTGATGGTCTGAGTTAATCATTGAAATATTTAAAATGAAATCCTGAATAGGAAGAAGGCATCCATTTTTCTAATATGATTTAGTGTATGAATGATCCAGATATGTCTAACTGCATGTTTTTTCTTGATTGCGCATTGCTTTTTCAAGCTAAAATTGAAACAAAACCCAGTTGACGTCTGTGGGGTATGCAACAGTCTTGTAATGTTTCATAAACAAAGCGACTGTATGGCGTGCAGGTAATTTTCAAAGCAAGATACCCATAACTTAATGGGGTGGGACATTAATGGCTGATGTATGACAGATATCTGGACAGTTCCCTTGTCCCTCATGGGACAGAGGATCATCTGATGGAGTCCTTTTGTTCAATAATAAGGTTATGGTTCAAACTCCCTACTTATTATCACACACACGCACATGCGCACGCGCAGACCGGTAGCTTACGCTAATACCCCAAAATTTCTGTTGGTTGAAGTTAAAAACTGAAAAGCACTCCTGAAGATGGCGTCTTTCTAAATGGCTGAAGACACTCTCACCCTTCTGTAGATATGTTTCTTAGGAGGGTAATCCTGGTTATTTTGAGGAAACAAGATGAAGTTTTCCACAAAAGGACATTGGTGTTTAGTGGCTTTATGTCGATATTGCTTGATGAATATTGTCCGTTGATAAAATTCCCTTGTCCCTTAATTTCAATTTTAATTGTATCTTTATGTTGATAAAGTTCTATTAGTAACACGTAAGAAATGTCCTTGTTCTTTAGTGTCGTGCTGTAGTGTAAGGTTTCATCTTGACCAAACAAGTGACCAAAGTCCTTTTCCGTTTTCCTTTTCCGTTTTCTTTGAATCTGTAGCATTAAGGGATTGAATATTCTAAAATTGGTTTTTCCAATTCTGTTGAGTCCACCTCCCTATATATAGAAATGTTTTCAATGATGTAATTTTAGTTATTTTGTTAAGGAGTCAGTAAAAATTATATAAAGCAAATTGGTTATTCCTTGTATGATATTAACGATGTTATTTCAGTTTAGGTGTACAATGAAGATTTATTTCGAGGCTTGAATGCACTTTTTGCTGAGGAAGAACATTTATCAAGGAATGTGCCCATGGCCTGGGTGGTTAGGGCGGGGAGCTACATCATGACATCAAAGGGTTCCATTCTGCTCCTGTTAAAATGTAAAAAAAGAAAGAGGAACTTATTTAAGTGATGTTAACATGACACCAGTTAGACAAATGTTCGTTTTTTTGTGTGAAGTTTTATTTGGAGAAATAACACTATCCTCCCTAATAGAAATTATCCTTATCAAAGCTCCATTGATTCGGCTGTATCACTGGAAAACCTGCTATTTCCCTTTTTTGTTTTGGTTGTATCCCCAGAAACCTAGTATTTCTTTTCTTTTCTCATGGAACCACCCACTTGAGTTATGAGTTATATTTTGGATAAAAATAGTGCTGCTTTTCCCACAAATTTCGTTTCCCCATTTCTTTGTCCGTCAAACACAATTATGTTTAGACCCATCTGCAGAGAGATTGAGAAATTTGGGCTATATATTGAGAGATACAGAGAAGCATGAATACAGAAGTCTAAATCTCTCAAGCTTGCAAAAAGAAACCTTAATTTGCTTGCAGATCTGGGGCTTGTATATGCTTGAAGATTTTGACTGTAATTAAGGTACCAGTAATCCTCAGTCCACTTGGGGGTACCTTGTGTAGCATTGGCAGCATCTGCAAGCTGGTTGGGCAAGCCAAAATTAGCAATGGCAAGATCTTCATTTGTAGCTTCAGGCCCAAATGACGACCTTTTGAAAGGGCCTCCAAGCCCTAGCTAAACGCATAACTAGGACCAGCAATAACACTAGGAATTAAACCCTCACAATCATATCTTTTGGCGGATGAATCTCCACATTGCAGGGAACAGAAGCTTAGAAACTCTTGTTGGAGGCTTTAGAAGAAGAGACAGGAAGGACTTGGGGTTCGTTTTATGAGGCAGAAGAAGGGGCTCAAGAAAGGGAGGTAGGCCAGAAGAAGCTCTTCTAGAGAGTTCTAGATAGTCTGCTACAGTGTTATGAGACTCGACCAAGGATTCAGCCTTGCCGAGGCAACTTTGGGCTAGTAGGCTGTAGAATATGTTTGTAAAGTTTATTTATATTAACACGGTGAATTTAAGTCATATATTTAGACGGCTCTGTTAGTCCTGACGTGTATTTTAGCCGGGTTTTGAATCCTATTAGCGAACATCACTTTTTCCACTTTTTCATAAACCTTATTTTTTTAGTGAGTAATGATCATATGAGATCTTTCTACGTCCATGTGTGTAGGACCCAAAAGGATTACTGTTAAATTTGGCACAGATCTTTAAAAAGTCAAGTTTCACACTCATGTGATAATTTTTTTAGAGATATGTGTCAATTTAATGGTGATCTTTTGGAGTTTTACACACATGAGTGTGGGAGGATCTCATAGGATCATTACTCTTTTTTAATATGATGGAGTTCTAAAAAAATCAAGTCCCACACCCATGTGATAATTTTTTTAGAGATTTGTGTCAAATTTAATGGTCATTCTTTGGGGTTCTAGGTGTGGGAGAGTCTCATAGGATCATTACTCTTTTTTAATGTGATGGAGTTCTAAAAAAGTCAAATCTCGCACCCATATGATAACTTTTTTTAGAGATCTATGTCAAATTTAATGATCATCCTTTTGGGTCCTACACACGTGGGTGTGGGAGTATCTTATAGGATCATTACTTTTTTTTTAATATGATGGAGTTCAAAAAAAAAAAAAGTTGTGGGCAAAGAGACAACCTTGTGTCAGGTGGTGTTACCCATACACCATAAGCTATTTGAATGTAAAAACTTTCTACTAATTACACATATTACTTTCTTTTTTCATTTTCTTAAAAAAAATAATAAAAATGAGCTGGACTCAGTTGAATTACTCGGACTTGCCCGAGTAACTCGTCTCGATCAAGACATCTTAGCCGAGTCGATTTTCTAAACACTGGTCCGGTAGAGGGAGGGACAAGCAATAATGGAGGTCATGAAACGTGTTTGAGAGCTTAATAACATGGGTGTTTCTAATAAGTGGGGTAAAAAGCTTTAGGGTGAAAATTGGGGAGTACAAGATTAGGAAACAATAGTATATGACACAAAAAGTTGCAGTAATGGCTAATGTTAATGTTAACCATTGAAATTTACAGAGTTATCAAAAAAAAAAAAACTATTGAAATTTACAGACAGGAACTATTTTTGTTAGAATCGATGCTCACTAAAGTGCTTTGAACAGTGTTAAGTTTATACACATGCGAAATTTATATACACTGTTACCAGCACATGCACTCTTAACAAGTATCTTCACCAGGTATGTTGTGTATATGCTGTTAGCAGGTCTCTTCACATAATGAGGATGATTTTTCCCAATATATTTCAGTCCAAGCATTGATGAAGATATGTATAAGCATTTCTCTGTGGACAGTGTAGATGCAAATGACCTTTTATGCTGATTTATGTGACATAGAGATCTAGAATTATCTGGTTGCTGATTGTTTTTCAAGCACAATCATTCATGGAAAGAACTCACCTAGACTCAGGTTGCCACCAACACAACATTTCTTAACACTTATCTTGTTGTAAGAAGAAATTCTGCCATCAGAAAGAGCAAAATTTAACAATTAGATGCCTTCCACAAAAGTTCATTTTAGATGATTTTTTTTTTTCTAATTTGTTTTTGTAGATTTGTCTTCCAGGCTATAAATATGAAAAGAAAATGAACCTTTAAAATTGGAAATATAATTTTTTAGTATTTTTTTATGCACCGTCCATATCTTAGGTATGGACAATACACTTTAGATAAAGTCCATCTTTTAAGATGGACATTTGTAAGTCAGCGGGCTCTTGTGCCCTCTGACTCATAAAACAAGTTTCCTTAAATAAAACCCTTATCAAATAATCCTTTGAACTAAATTTGTGAATCTCTCTCTTGACCACACATATATCACGGTTTTGTCACAAATATTAAAGATTGCATATCTAGGATCAATTGTTTATTGACAAAGGTAACTAACGGTCCAAATGTATGTTTGAATGTGCGGTCCAAAGGTATAAAGCATCCATTTGGAAGATGGACGCAAATTGGTGGCCAAATGTTTTCTTAATATAATTATTATTTCTAATTTTTTAAATTTTTTTTTTTTTCATATTCATGATCTCAATGTTAAAACTTTTACTTTTGAACATTGTTTCATGTAAGCTAGACCGCATTCGTACAGTGTGCGGTCCAGAGATATATAGCATCCATTTGGAAGATGGACGCAAATTGGTAGTCTATCTAAAAACAATTGTAACTAACTGTCCAAATGTTTTCTTAATATAATTGTTATTTCTAGTTTTCAAAATTTATTAACTTTTTCATATTTATGTTAAATATTATATATTCGCTAAAAATTAAGATCAAATTATATTTAAAAAATATATTTATTGTCAAGCTTACATGTGCGGGCTTGGCCGCATGCTAACCACGTCCTTTACTTTTTAGTCCTACACATTTCTTAAGGTGTTGTTCACCAATATTAACATTAATATTCTTTCATTTGTCCTATGTATATCACATAGAGAAGAATGAATATAAACTGTATGCAATATAAAACTACAACTATCCTTGGGATTTTTAGATGTCAATCGCTTACACTTCTCAAGAAAAATAAGATTTGAAATTCTAGCACAATTGGATTATTAAATAGCATTTTATTTTACAAGCACATATGTCATAAAAATTGGAGTGGAAAATTATGAGTAGTAGCTATTAAAATAACATGAATCTTGAAATTCAATCTACACTTTTGGACATCACTATTTTCAGTGTGTTGTTAGCCACTAAAATCCATTTACATGATTTATAGGAAGAATAAAATAAGAATGCCCAAAAAGAACAAATTGTAGAAATTATTTGATACTTGCAATCTGGTAGTATACCCAGCATTTTAAATAACATTTCATTTTTATAAGCAAATATATGATAAGTTGCAAGAAAAGATAACATAGGTAGAAGTGTCTTACTACTAAAATGGCATAAATCTTGAAACTCATTCAACATTTTTGTACATCTCTATTTTTGCTACACTATTAGTCTCCAAAATTGATTTGAAATGATTTATAAGATTAATAAAAAAAATAATGTCCAAACAGCCTCAATTGTAGAAGCAACTTGAGTTCATACCTATGATCTAATTTTGAAAAAGAGGCAAATCTATGAATATGTAGTTCTTTTCTGTTGGGATCCATCTCATAAATTGTTGTCTATGTACAAATTATTATATCATATCCACTTTTGAGAAGTTTATGTTGTACAGGAGTGATGTAGTCGATTGTATTTTTTATTTTGTAAAATGATATTTCTTTAAATTTCGAAGAAACTGGTTGTATATCTTACGGGAAATTAGTTCCAATGAGTTCTCGACCCAATAAACATCGAATAATTTAGAACGTTGATATTACAAATTCATCGATGTTTGAGATATTGTACGTACCTCTTCATCGAAGAATAACAATTTCTTGAAGCACTTCTGATTGTCCTGTTTGCGTGGCCATTCAGGTGTTATGTGAAATAGGAAAAAGTTTATATAAGGTTGCGACCTTACCTCTATAGCTACAGATGCACCTCAAAAATCCATTGGAAAAGGTAGTTTTAACGTTGAAAAACCTTTTGATTGATCATCTCGACATCGAGATATATGACTATGAAATATAAAAGGATTTTAAGTCTCAGAAATAATGCGTTTTACAACATATCATCTGCGCCGTCCATTTTCAAGAATTTCATTTGTTTATAGATCTACTTGATTTTAACCATTTTTTAAATTTAAAATTTTATAATTAGATATAAAATAGATTTTGAGATAATCCTAAGAACATTTTAAATCAAAATTATATACCATCATAAAATTTGAAGGTGCACCTTACCTCTACAGCTACGGATGCATCCGTATGTCAACTGCACCCTATGAAATAATCTATATGAGAAAGAGATGTTTCTTTTTTCTTGAGATATTTCATTCAATTTGGATATATATGTAGATGATTTGTACAGATATGGCTTTCATCCTCTGTGGTGCAATAAGAATGATAATTAGAATATTATATATTTTTTATAGAAAAAGAAAATGTAATGAAGAATAAGAAGATTTGTTAAGGTAAACCTCTGTATAAAATTTAAAACCTTGTAGACAATCCCAAAAAATAATTAGTCAAAGATAAATTTTAAAGAAGCCACATCATCAAAAATTAATTCTGCACCAGATCCTCTTATTGGACCCTTAG